GTAATAAGCGGGATAATGTGCAGCGACTTGGTCATTATGGGGAAAAGAACACCGACAGGCTGATCAGGAGCCCGACGCGAAGTAGAAAGTACAGGTATTTGTGTTCAACATGTAAGAAGTAGAAAGTACAGGTATTTGAGTTCAACATGTAAGAAGTAGAAAGTACAGGTATTTGTGTTCAACATGTAAGAAGTAGAAAGTACAGGTATTTGTGTTCAACATGTAAGAAGTAGAAAGTACAGGTATTTGTGTTCAACATGTAAGAAGTAGAAAGTACAGGTATTTGTGTTCAACATGTAAGAAGTAGAAAGTACAGGTATTTGTGTTCAACATGTAAGAAGTAGAAAGTACAGGTATTTGAGTTCAACATGTAAGAAGTAGAAAGTACAGGTATTTGTGTTCAACATGTGAGAAGTAGAAAGTACAGGTATTTGTGTTCAACATGTAAGAAGTAGAAAGTACAGGTATTTGGGTTCAACATGTAAGAAGTAGAAAGTACAGGTATTTGTGTTCAACATGTAAGAAGTAGAAAGTACAGGTATTTGTGTTCAACATGTAAGAAGTAGAAAGTACAGGTATTTGGGTTCAACATGTAAGAAGTAGAAAGTACAGGTATTTGTGTTCAACATGTAAGAAGTAGAAAGTACAGGTATTTGGGTTCAAAATGTAAGAAGTAGAAAGTACAGGTATTTGAGTTCAAAATGAAAGAAGTAGAAAGTAAAAAGTCGTCAGAAAAATAAGTAGTAATGTAAAGCTACTGATACCAGAAAAATGTACATAAGTACAGTAGCAAAGTATTTGTACTCCACTACTTCCCACCTCTGGATCTATAACTAAACTTCCTATTTTCAGCGTCCAAGCCCCCCACCATCGCCCCGGAGCTGAGCTGTGCCACCGGGGAGGGAGAGTTGTACCGCGGCACCATCTCAGTGACCGAGTCCGGGAAACAGTGCCAGAGCTGGTCCGTTCAGACTCCTCAGAAACACAACCGCTCCCCAGAAAACTACCCCTGCAAGTAAGAACAAATACATCATATATTAACGATGTAGTGGAAAGTATTTTTATATTTATTTTTATTTTATTATTTTATTTAAACTTCTTTTGGTAATTTTGTTTTTGTTTTTTTGTAATTAATTAATAAATAAATAAACCTCCACTTATTCAGTGGTGGAAAGTATTTTATATTTTATTTTATTTAAACTTATTTTGGTAATATTTGGTCGTATTTTTTTAATAAATACATAAATGATAAATAAACAATGGGCTTATGCAGTTGTAGAAAGTATTGTTGTTTTTATTTTATTATTTGTAGTTAAACCTTTTTTGGTTATTTCTTTTGTAATTTTCTTTTTTTTAATCTAAAATATCGCAACTGTGACAAACAATCAGCAATATATATTCTGATCTAGTTTTAATTATTTATTTATGTAGATAACTTTACAATATATTTTGTAAATGGTTCATCACTAATTATAATCCAGTGAAATAATAATACTTTTTCCAAAGAAAAATCACCATACTGCATAATGACTACTTTTAGTTTATTATTTTAAGTATATTTTAATCATTTTTAACACATTTATACTTTTACTGTACTTAAATACAATTTTGAATGTCAGAATTAAAGATTAATGATACTTTGCTATTATTACTTTTTCCTAAATATCTTCTATTCTTTAAGTTTTTACCTTTTTTCATGATTTTTACTGTGTGTTTTTTCCGTCAGAGGCCTGGATAGCAACCACTGTCGTAACCCGGGCAACGAGAAGATGCCCTGGTGCTACACCACCAACACTGAGACCCGCTGGGAGTACTGCAAGGTGCCGAGCTGTGGAGACGCAGCCGGACCAGGTACAATTCTCATTAATGATTATAATGATGACCTTTGTAATAAATGCAAAACGCTGTATAAAACTGCATAATAAAACCCCTCTTGCTTCCTGTGTCTCGCTGCAGATGAGCCCGTGATCCCCGTGGAGGAGGAGGATTGTTACGAGGGGGACGGGACGAGTTACAGAGGAGTGACGACAGAGACAATCAGCGGGAAAAGATGTCAGCGCTGGAGCGCCATGACGCCTCACAGCCACAAGAACACTCCACAGGTCTTCCCCCAAGCGTGAGCATCACAAAGCAGCCTTAGCCTTATTCTTTATTGTGAATGTAGACCTATGTGAATATGAAATATTATACCCTGGCTAATTATCGCAGCACAATTGCCAGACTATATAACAGTGATGCAAACACAGGTATGGTGAAAAAAGAGAGAACTGTAACTACGGAGCAGAAAAAAAACAGCGTAATATACCATCTGACAATGATAGATTTTTCTTTTTGGATATTTTACAAATCCCTCCCCTTTCAAACTCTATTCTTGTTATTTTTAACAAAAAAAATTTTTGTTACTGTCATATAGTATTTTATACCTGTTAATAATTGAGTCTCTCATGTCTCATTAATAACTATAATGATCATATCAAGGTGTGCCTTAACCTCACTGAGCTGAGGTTATTTGAGCCTCTCAGGAGAGAGCTCTCTTCCACCTGGTTGTAGAAAAGCTCTTTAAATTCGTTAGCATAGCTAGCTAACCAGATGCTAATAACAACAGATCGCCACTGTGCTTACAACTAAAGACACAACCTCGCAAACACTGCGGCATGTGGACGGCTCCTTATGGGTACTGCAATATTTGAAGAGCTGGAGCAGCGTTCCGATGCTCTCCGTTACTCCTTCCAGACGAGACATAACCACGTGAAGACCTATGGTGAAGACACGTTACGCTCGTGTTGTGTTCAATGAACCTGTCCTTGGCCAGGAAAAACAGGCACTCGCTTGTTTAATTATTTTGCGATCTAGATTTCTTCTTCTTTTTTGAAGTGAGAAGTTCGGACTGACGGACCCCCCCCAAAACGAAAACTCTTCGGTTCTCCACGAATTACACAAGTCACCCAAATCAGTGTTAAAAAAGCGGGAGGCGCAGAAAAGCGACTAATTTGCATCACTGTATATAGGGTAATACTTAAAATATTGGATACTTAAAAGGGTAGCATTTCACTTATATTTTAAGGCTGCTACATTACTGAGAGACTAATTTCATTGAAAATT